GGTATGTAGTGCTAAAATCTGATCAGTCCAGTAGCTGGCACATTGTGATGTGTGTCTGCAGTATTATTTAAGGTATTTGTCTACTGAGAAATGAGTAGAGAAGCAGGTTGCCTATAAGACATGAAATGGGATAAGTCAGCCAGCTGACTCTAGCAAGGACACGGAAAGATCACAGAGGCACCGACATTCCCAATGTCAGACATCCACCTCAGCTCTGCTGGTTCTGCCTTATACAAACAGATAAAAGACCAGAAGCACTGGAGAGAAAGGAAAATTCTCAGCTGGTTTGCACAGCTCACCAGTTCCAAAATAGAGAGCAAAGTTATCTTTCTACAATAATGCTGCTTTTTAATTGCATGGTACTTGTGACTTTCCAAAAGCACTAAGTTTATTTTGCATTTAATTATGGAAATATTACTGAAATGGACAAATTTTAAAAAAGGAAAACCAAGTTAAAATCATCCCAAATCCAGGCACCACAGCAGAAACAGATTCTTCCATGTGTTCACTTACATATGCAAGCACACTTATCAAGATCGTGAGATATACATACTGCTTTGCAGCCAATTTTCTACGGAATTTACTGTGAATAGTCTACATGATCTCACTGTAACTGATCACCCCATCAATCTATCCAGTCAGTCATCTTGATGAGGGACCAGGTGCTTCCTGTGTCCTGTGTTCTACCCATTACCTTCTTTTATACACCCCAGCCAGTAACGCAGGCTTGCCACCATTCCTGTTGCAGATAGGGACAAGAGCAGTGGCAGCTGCATAATTTTCCTCACACCCCCTTATATCTGGGAGTGAAGCTAATATACTCCCCAGGAAGACAGAAAAGTCAGGAATCCAAAGGGGGTGGGGAATTGAGAGATTGTCTGAAGTTTGGTAAATGCCCTGAGCACATGGTGCCATGTCAGTAAGCGACCAGACCAGATGGAGTCAGACCCACAGCTCTTAGGTGGAGCATATCCACACCTTTTAAAGGGCTCTCAAAGGATGTTCAATAGGCTTGGACACCAAACTTGTCAATGGAGCGGAGGACAGATATAAGTTGAAGAAAGACAATCTCTGTAGTGTGATAGTAGTGAAACATCTTGTTCTTTATTGAGCACATCTCAGATCCTTTGTCTATATGACAGCGTCTCATGCTCAGTTCCAGCTGGTCTTGGTGAGAGGGGGCTCATGCACTGTAATGTGTGATATATACATAAATATACATACAGAGAACACTGAGGATTGTATCTTAGCAATGAGTTTCTTGGCAGAATTACATTCATATAAAGTGTCCAAACTAAAATCAAATTAAAAGCATGGAACCCAAAGCCTGGAAAAGCAAACAGCTTTAGGGGCTTACTCCATTAGCATTCCACAAACTGTGCTTATAAGCATTGTGCTCCATTCAGAAGCATGGCCACCAACAGCTCTTGCAGCTGTTCTTGGGACCTGGCACTTGTCCCCTAGACAGCACGCAGGAAGTGTAGCCACTGCTGCACCAACAGGAGGGTTTTCACAGGAACCTGACAAGGAAGCCCTGATCCTCTTAGACCCACGTCTATCTCCACCCGCCCCGGTCCCCAGTGGTGTTTCCCTAATTACATTCCCCAGCATCATGTGAACCTGGAGCCCCAGTGTGCACAGGATGAGCAGCCCACAAACTGGAGCAAGTGCGTTTACTTCCTCACGCTCAGGGAGGTTTGTCACGCGACGTGACGGGACAAGGACACACAGGCTGCACACACATTAACATGAACCCACCTGCCCTTTCGAGGTATATAGTTTGGGGTTGATATAAAGGAATCTTTTGTAAAGTTCCTCAATGTCACAGAATTTAGAAATGGAAAGATTAGCTAATTTTATTCTTCTTGCTGGATCAAAGTTATGACTGGGCAGAGCTGATGTTTCTGGTATGGACTATTTTAGAGGTGAAAAGGTCCATCTGCACTGCAAGTGTTTGCCCACAGCACAGGCCAGTGTCACTGGCCCTCAGATCTGTGCACACAGTGAGGACAGTGGCACCTGCCCCTTGGCACACCTGTTTGAAGTTGCAGGAGGAATTCGGACTTTGAAGAGAAACCAGCAACTACAACCTGGAGGTAAAACAAATTCCAGAGGAAACAATGCCTTCTCTGGTGCACACATTTAAAAATAAATTATCATTTTTAATTAAAATAAAAAAACCCTCCAAAGGAGGAAAAGATGGTGAAAGATGAAGACTCTGAATGAAAACTGCAGTTCTTTTAGTGTCCCGTGCTAGGAGAGGTGGGACCTCCTGATACCAAAGCAGGTGGCCAAGGTTCTGGATGTGCTCACAACACCCCCCAGCCTGCTGCTGCCCCAGGACTTCCATCCTAACAATTCAAGAGCCTAACAAATCAATTCAAGAGCCCACGCTCCACACACACGTCCATGTGGCCCCTCCTGAGACCTGAGACTTCCTCCCAATGCTGACCTCCCGTGGTGGAGATGCCACCTTGGCAAAGCCATACCTGAGCAGTCCTGAAGGACAGTGTCTGTGGCATTAGTACTTCAGGTTTAGCAAACTAAACAGAACAGACTCTTCCATCCCTGCTTGCGAAAACATCCTTAAAATTTAAGATTTTTCTAAAAAATTCCTGGTTGTGACAAGTTTTTGGTTGAGTCTAAAGTCCAGATCAAGGGCATGGCTGCAATGGGGCAGTCATGGTATCATGCAGTGTGGCTCAGATGGTGTTCAAGTGCGCAGAGCCTGAGGGCCTCCTGTGGGGGCAGCACACTCTCTTCTTTCTGAAGACAGAGGAACAAGCACAAGCGTGGTCTTGCCCTAACACTGGGGGAGGGCATTGGTTCCCTCCCCCAGGCTGCATTCCTCCTCCTGCCAGGCCCAGGCCACATCCAAGCAGGCCAGCTCATGTGGTCTCAGGCCCCAGTGAGGAAGGACATCGCCTTCTTTTGGTGGTGGGGAGTCATACTCATTATAGCTACTACTGGACAGAGAGACAAGCCAGGCAGACTGGGTATTTTTTATGTATATGGAATATAATTTTTGCTGGGCTTTATAAACAAGATCATGTATTTTTTAAAAACTAAGTCCATCTCCCAATCCCCACTAGAAAAAATATAATTTGTAGAGAAAAGAATGCAGACTTAAATGTTTTTCTGGAGTCTACTTGGGAAGGCAGAGACACCACCAGACCTTTCCTTCTAAGAAACCCCAGTGCATTTTACCCAAAGGAGGCCTCGCTGTGCACACAGGGTCCTGAGACCCTGACCTCAGCCCTACCCTTGCCAGGACAGGCAATGAGCAGGGGATGCTTTCAATTCTGAACCTGTCTCCAGAGAGCCCTAGGTAGACTCCCACTCCGTGGGATCTGCCCCACAGGACAAGAGCCACACGAGGCACCGAGAGGACACAGGCATGGGCTCCTGACATGGGAGGCACACCCAGGTCCCACCAAAACAGCAACAAACTGCCTCTCAAGGACTAGCAGGAATATGGCTGGACTGACAGCAGCTTCTCCATTCCTGTCCTAGTTTGTCTAAGCCGCAAAAGAACACAAGTACCTAGGTGTGCAGCTTGGTGCCAGACATGTTAGCATCCTGGACATCGCTGTGGCATGTCCATGGCTATGGGTGGACTGCATCTGTCTCTGCCCATGGCCCCAAAGTCCCTCAGCATGACTTGCAGGACCACGAAGTCACTCTGCTTGGGTGGGCAAACAGCCCTGCCCTCTGGCTTTCCCTAATCCTGAGTGGAAGCAACAAGGCACCTGGGACAGGTGTCTGAGCCCAAGGTCCCAGGGTCCACACCAGGGACCTGAGCGCCTGGCCTGCCTGCCTCTGCCTGAGGGGCCATCCTGTGCATTAGGAGTGCTGAGGAGCAGCCCCAGGTCCCCCAAGACAGGCCAGCAGCATGCCAGCCCTGCCTGTCATGACATCAATGTCTGGTCTGTACCACGCCAGTATCACATTGTCATCAGCCTGAATACTTTATACTTTTCGAATGTGTCTTTGATAAAGCTGGAAGTAACTTAAAATTATGCTGTCATGGTATGCTCTAAGAGAGAGTATCTATCTAAAAAATTCTATTTCCATCCTGGGAAGGCCTCTGGGCAGGCATTGCTCCTCTCCACATTGAAGGTCCCCACAAGGGTGCAGATGGCGGCTAGCTCTGTATGTGCAGCAGCACCATCTGATCCTCACCCACGAAACTAAAAGCTATTCAAAGCCCCAGACGGCCAGTCCAAGCCTTGGACATGTTCTATCTTGGGTTATTTAGAAGTAAACTGAGAAGTTTTCCTTGGATTTGATTCTAACCAAATCTAGAGCATGATCCCATGCTTGAGGAGCATGGAAACTTCTGGAGGCAGCTGAGGCAGCAGGTCGTGGGTCATGAGTGTAGGAAACAAGGTTGCCACTGCAGAGTCAGGGTCACACCTCATCCGACTGGGGTCTGGCCTGGAAGGGCTGATAAAACCTACTGTGTGGACCTAAGTAACCGTGAAGGACCTACAGAGGGGGGCCAGCATGAGGATGCGTGTGGGCAGTTCTTTTTAGGGTTCTACTTCCTACCTGTTTTCTCACCCTCCTCCATATATAAATGCTTTGTTGCAATTAAAACAATATGGCATAAAAGTGACCTGACATGATTCTTATTTTATAAAACCTCATTCCTAGCTCTGAATAAATTATTTATTCAAGAATTTCACATGAAGCAATTTCTATTTTCCTAAACTTAAGGAAGCCCTACTCAGTAGGACTCAGTTTCTAACGTAAACTGAGAAAGCAGTCACTGGATAACTCAAGAGGGGGAGTGTGTGGCAGGGAGATGCCAGGCGGCAGCGCTGGACCCCACACTCCCTCACGACCCCCCCTCCCCCGCTGCACACCTGCCCCCTCCCCAGTTTACATGTGAGATGCCTGGCACCTCACACATCCCCCTGCCAGCTTAGTTGGGGCGTGAGATGCTGGGGACCATGTAGATACCCAGTGGCTCCCAGGCCCCCACGCCCTCCCCGAGTGAGCGCTCGCTGAGTTCCGTCATGAGGCTCTGGGGAATGATGCCAGGCACTGCAGCCTCCATGCCCTGTGCTCTGCACCCCCAGGCTCAGGGTGTAAGGGAGAACTGGTCCTGCTCTGTGGGCTTCTCCACCCAGGCACCCAGCCCTGCCTTGACGAAGGCAGTCAGCAGCCGTGCCTTGGCAGCTTGGTACTCCTTAGCTGCCAGCTTCGACTCGTGGTATGTGTTGGGCTTTGTGATCTTGGTGCGCAGCAAGTGGGGGGGGACCTGTAGAAGGACAAGGTACAGGTTAAAGTGTCATTGCTGATGTGATGCAATGGATGAAAAACAACTTAGCATGATGTCCAAAACTGGTGTTTTGTGGGGAGATGCCAGAGAAGGCTCCCTCTTGCAGGAATGGCACCCACAAACAACCTGAGTGCCCTGCCTCAGCTGTGGTCATGACCTCTGAGCAGCTGCCCCCACATTAGACAGGTGGCTGTAGACTCCAGGTTCTGGAGACCACAGGGGCTCAGGTTCCACCTTGCACATGGGTAACTGTCTGGACTGTGCACGCCACATCACACTGCAGGACCTGGTGGTGTCCTGGGTGGCCATTTAGTATGAGGACCTCAGGCACTGTGGTGCAAGGTGCCCATCCTCAGGGAGCAGGACAGTTTCTGCCTGAGCCCCACACCAGTGTTCTGTACTGGCCTCATACTAAGTAAACAGTACAAACCTGACTTTAAAAAAAATGAAAACTAATGACACAAGGACAATGGAAGGTTTTAATGCTCTTGATGGAGGGTGGCGCTGAATCCAGGGAGGCCTCTGCTGAGAGAGGAGGGCAGGTGGCTGACCCTTCCTCTCAGGGATAGAGGTCTCCTCCCCTGATGGCCGAGCAGTGGGTCTCTTGACTGCCACAGGGAAAGGCAGGAGCTACCTTTGGATAGCTTTCAGACTCATGGAGCCAGGGCCACACTTTTAAGCTAGCAACAGTCTGGAGGAAAAAAACAGTTTTCAAATGATCTTGTTAGGAAGTTGAGGTGATGACGTGGTGGGACGGATGGGTACGGGGAGGGGAGCCGGCACAGAGTGAGGGTAGCTCAGTACCTTGCCATGCACACGCATCCAGCGACAGTACAACGCGTGCTTACACAGGCGGGACGCACGGCCCAGCTCGTCCTTCCCCGTTGTGGCATTGATGATCTCGATGGCGGAGTCGCCCACCGTCCAGTTGACGCTGAAGTTGGGCGCCTTCCCTGGCTGCCTCGCTTCAGCATTGCTGATACCTGAAACAGAGCAGACACCAGGGGTGACATGAAGCCCTCCTTGGGATTGGGGGCACCTAGCTTAGCACAGCACACGTGGTTTGCAGAGGGATATGCAGGGAGGAGACACGCATCTGCCATGAGGCCATCACGCTGCTGCCAGCTCTGTGGCCCTGGGCAAGGGGCAGAGCTCAGGAGCTGGAACTGACAAAGTCATGTCTGGGAGGGGGCAGCGGGTAGAGGCTGATGAGAGCCTGAAGACACACAACCTCCTGTCTGGTATGTCTTAGCCTACTTTGGGGACAACACTGAAACCTTGCAGTTTGAAATCATGGAGAGGCTGGCGAGTCACCCTGGGTTAACTGAGGTTCCACAAAGGCCAGCCAGTGGGGCTGTTCCTCAATGTGACGGTCCTGCTCGGTGCTCCCCCCTCCCCCCACATGGCCCCTGCCACGGAGGGGCCAGACGTCCAGGTCATGCTGCCCTGCAAGCTCAGCACCCAGGGTGCAAGAGGAACCCCACTTCTTAACAAGTAAGCGTCCAGGTCTTCTCACCATGTTCAAACTATCTCACCTTAACTGACCACAGGCTCTTTTAGTAAGGAAGAAAGTTTTAGAAAGACCCTTGGCTAATGGGCACTGAACTGGACTGCTCACACCATGCACACGTTAGGGACTAAGCAAATCTAACTGGCTTAGGACAGGGGTCTCTAGAGCACGCCTGGAACCTGAGCTGGCCCACATTCTGGATCCAGTCACCGAGCTGTTGGCTTGCTGGCTGTGCGTGGCACACAGCCCTCTCACCTGTGCTCAACACAATAACTTCATGTGTGGAAGGATCTCCTGCCTTGCCCCTGCCCCATTTCCATGCTCTTCATTTGCTATCACTGACTGTTCACTCCTACCTTGAAGAGAATATTGAAACCAAGCTTGTTCTGAGTGAGGAGCCCAGCACGGTGTGGCAGACATCCTAGTTGAGAATACAGAGTTCATGGGAGAGTGCAGAGGAGGAGCCTGGGACTGCATCCAGGTTACCTTAGGCTGGGAAAGAGCTCCTGAGAGGATCAGAGGGAAAAATATCTGCCACTCACATGCAAGACAGAGACAAAGGCCTGAATCAAACTTGTAAAGAGGAAAACCAGAGTGAGAAAAAAGTAAATATGATGGAATTAATCACAGAATGGAAACTGCAGAAGAACAGACTGATGAACTTCAAGACATGGAGACAGAAAGTACCCAAAATGAAACAAGGAGGGAAAGAAAGACTGTAGGAAAAATAACAGAAAGTCAGTGAGCTGAGTAACAATAGTTCCTAAGGGAGCAGAAAGAGATGAAGGATGAAAAAAATAAATCTGAAGACAGAGGAATAACATTTTTCCAAATCTGATGAAAACAACAAACCCACAGACCTACAAATTTCAATGAAGCCCAAACACAAGAAATATGAAGAAAACCAGACCCATGCACAACACCACAAACTGCTCAACATCAGCACAGAGAGAAAAATCTTAAACAGTAAGAGAAAAAGCCACAGCCAGAGGAATAAAGATAGCATGACCTCTGAGTTCTTGTAAGAAATGATGTAAAGAAGACAGGAGCAACACCTTTCCAGTGCTAAAAAGAAAGACCAACAACAAAAACCTGCTCTTCTATACCAGCAAAAACATACTTGCTCAAAATATATTTCAAAACCAAAAGCAAAACACGAACTTTTCAGACACACCAAAGCTGAAATAATTCATCATCAGAAAACTCACTCTATAAGGAGGTAAAGAGCCCTTTAACTAAAAAAAAAAAAACAACAACAGCAAATGGAAATCCAGACCCCTGAAGGAGTGAAGGGCCCCGGAAAGTGGCTGACTATCGGATAGACATTAAGAGATAGTTTTCCCTTTTGAAACAAAAAAATATCAGGTGAGATTTTTAACATATGCAAAAGTTAAATGCATGACAATACCACAAAGGTGGGGAGAGGAGAAACAGAAGGCCTACTGTAAACTTCTTGCATCCTCTGGGAAGCATACAAGATCATGGGAAGGTAGACCGTGGTGAGTTTAGGATGCATATTATAAACTCTTAAAAACTACTAAATCAACAAAACAAAACGCTACAGCTAAAAAGTCAAAAAGGAGTTAAAATGGAATCATAAAATGTAAAAATGCAAGAGTGAGAATAAGTGGAAAGCAAACAAAGAGCACATGGAACAAACAGAAAATCATAGCAAAATGTTGAGATTTAAACCTAACTACCTCTAATCAGAATGAACATAAATGCTTCCAAAACCTTAGTGAAGAGGCAGATATTGTCAACTGGCAGGATCAAAACATATGTGGCCCACAAGATGTACACTTTTAAAATAAAATGATTTAAATTTAAAAAGACATTAAGAAGAGGGCCGGGCATGGTGGTGCAAACCTATAATCTCAGCTTTGTGGGAGGTAGAAGTTTGAGGATCACAGTCCAAGGCTACCTCCAGCAAAAACACAAGATCCTATCTGAAAAGTAAAATAAAAGCAAAAAAAGTGTGTGTGTGGGAAGCTGGGGTGGGATTCAAGTGGTAGAGCACTTGGCTAGCAAGGGTGAGGCCCTGAGTTGAAAACCCCAGTGCTGCAAAAAGATACAAAAAAGACATCTTAAAGATGTACTGTGCTGCCCCTAATCAGAAGAACGCAGAGGTCATCAGAGAGCACACCGAGCAGATGAAGCCTGTTTAATGACAAGAGAGGTCATTCATGTGATCACACAGCTGCAGAATTCATGCAGTAAAAACTTAAAAATCGGAAGGAGAAGCAGACGACATGTGGTCTCCGATGTCCCTCTCTCGTGAACTGACAGACCCAGTGGAAGATCAGTAAGGTCACAAAAGACAGAAACAACACAGTCAGTCGATGTGGCCTAATTGACATTTACAGATCACTCTATCTACAAATGAGATACACGTTCTTTTTAAGTTTCCACAGAACATTTCTAAAGACAGATCATATTGTAATCTGTAACACAAGCATTAGTAAATTTAAAAGACTAAGTCATAAGATGAAACTCAAAAATTAGTAACAGAAAGAGCTATGCACTCCCTAAAGCTCTGAAACTCGACAGCAACCATGTAAATAACCCATGGGGTCAAGGTATTAGAAATCAGTAGAATGAAGATTCAACATATCAAAATTTATATATATAAAAAATGATCTCAGTAGCACCTTAAAAAACTTAGAGAAAGAATAATTGAAACAGCAAGTATGCAGAAAAAAGGGAAAATTAAGATCAAAGTAGAAATCACTGATATATAAAACAGGAAATTATAGGAAAAATCAGAGACCAAGAGTTGATTTTAAGGTGATCAGTAGTGTTGATACACCTCTAGCTGTACTGATATTAAAGAGAAGATGAAAATCACTACTGTGAGGAGTAAAAGAGATGTCACTGGAGATGCCACAGACACTAAAAAGAAAAGAGACCTTTTATACCAGTAGGTCTGGCAAATTAGATAAAATGGACAAATTTCTTAAAACAAATAAATTTCTAAGCTTATTCAAGAAAAAATAACACAAATATCCCTCTATCTACTATAAAAATTTAATTTGTAGTTAGATATTTTCTCGTAAAGGAAACCTCAAGTCTAAATGGCTTCACTAGTGAATTCTACCAAACATCTAAGGAAATGTTAATACCAACTCTAACCAAATTCTTCCAAAAAATCAAAGAGGAAGAAGTGCATCTGAACTCATTTTAAGACTGACAAAGACATTAAAAGAAAACTACAGCATAAAATCCCTACAGATTAGTATACCTATATAGATGCAAAGGTTATAAAGAAAATTTAGCAATTTGAATATAACGATGTACAAAAAGAATAAAAAGTAAAACCATATAAGGGGTATCCCAGGAATGCAAGGTTGGTTTAATATTTTTTCAACAAACTAAGAAATGAACCAAATGACCATCTTAGAGCAGAAAAAAAGCATTTCACAGAATCAAACATCCATTCTTGATTGAACACTCCTAGTAAACTAGGGATAGAAAGAAACTTCTTCAACTGATAAAGCCATCAATGAAAAATCTACAGCTAACATGCTACTCAGAGGTGAAAGACTGAGTTCTTTTCCCTCACATCACACACAAAACAGGATGTTCTCTTAGCACTGGAGGAGAGGTCATACCTACTGCAACCAGGAGTGAAAGATATCAAAGGCATACAAGTTGGAAAGAAAAAAACAAAGCATGAACAACATGACCACCTGGAAATAAGATCCAATGAAACCTCCCTTGGTTGTTTTGGTAGTGGAACTGACAGTAAAGTTTATCAGTAAAGGAATACTCTTCCAGCAGACTGAAAGCCATCCTCTCTGGAAAGAGTCAGAATGACCCCAATGGAACCTCTTACAAAGCTGCCAGAGCTAATGCTCCTACAGACTGGCAACAGACAGTTGGAAATCTAAAGAAAATGCAACATGTAAAGCAGCATCAGGAATATGACGCTAGATGAGTGAGACGTACACTGTCAACTGCAAACACTGCTAGGAGAAGTGAAAGGTGGCCTGGAGAAATTCTCTGTATTCATCGAAGTCATTAAGGTGTTAGCTGTACAAATGGATCTACACACATAGTAATCTCAGTCAAAATCCAAGCAGGCTTGTGTGCAGAAATTGATAACTGGATTACAAAATTGTTATGGAAACACAAAAAGGACCTAAGAGGCTCAAAGGCCTTCTTTGAAAGAGTATAAAAGTCGGAGGGCTAACACTACCTGACCTCAAACTTATAATAATGACAGCAATCCTGGCAGTCTGACACTGCCTCGAAGGAGACCCCCACACACATGTGCACACGTATGTGTGTGTGCCCAGTGCTGCAAAGACAATTCAGTGAAGGATGGAGGAAGGTCTCACCAAGTGGCCCTGGGACAACTGGATGTCTTATCTGTGAAAAATGAACTTCTGCCTCTGGGTGGAGGCACCGTCTTTCAGTAACTCACAAAAATGACAAACACAAAGGAAAAGAGAGAGGCACACCATCTTGAGATGG